AGGCGCGGGGGGGGGGGCCCCCCCCCCCCCCCAGTGCACAAATTTTTGTGCACCGGGCCTCTAGTTATATATATAAAATTATGTATTAGAGTTGGTAGGCAGGAGGCAAGAGTTATGAAAACAGAATAATAAAAAATCATTAAGCAGCATTCTCTTTATTGCCATATCACTACCTAATATTTAGCCCTGGAACAGAAGCACATGGACCACTGCCCTGCTGCTCCCTGGCCTTCTCTCATTGCCAGAGATGATGCTTATAACCAACCGCCTGGCACAAGATGAATTCAAAGTGAGCGGGCAGCAATTCCCCCACAGGGGACAAATGGGGACAAAGGACATATTGCCAACATGGAGAGTTTTGTTAGAACAACTTAAATGGAAAATTGAAAGATGACAGATATCCACACTAGACTCAAACCCCACATTTTTCTAAACTACAGTCTTGGAGAAAAATAGTTCTGGCAATTTCAGAAAATAATCCATATTCACCTCAAAAGGATCATATCTTACCGATTTGTGATTATGTCATCCCAGATGTTCATTGGGTCCATCTTAGCATCTGGATATCTGCTTGTCCAGGTTTTTAGAAGTCTCTTAAGGGGAACTTGAGAAGATAAATTACCTAAAAATAATATTATAGGATGATTATATCCACAGCTCAATGACAAGACAAACTTACAATGTAGGTAGAAACTTAATACAAATTTATTGTCCCAATTAAAAAATTTTGTCTCTTCTTTCACAACAGGAACACAAAGTTACCATATTAAATCTAATATATTCTGACATTAAAACTCAACTTCTTAAGAATATAGAATAAAGTGGGGAAATAAACATACAATTTAGTGAAGTTCTACTTCATCCACAATTCCAAAATCAAAAAAGCTCTGAAAGTTAAAAAGGTTTTCACGAGGTTGCAGCCAATTGTCTTGGCAAAATCAGATCTGAATTGGCGTAGGGCTACTTATAGGTCTTTGTTTATGCCATTCATTTGAATATTTACCACTTACAGTAGATATGCATGGTTGTATTTAATTATGGAATACTGCCCCCAGCTCTGGTGTGTGCAGAAGGTTACATAATAATAATATCTGAAACTACCTGGTTTCAAGGTGTGGCAAGATAGTCCAAGAAGCTAGGAAAATTCCTGGTCAAATGGAATGGGGAAAGTGAGACGAGAAAATTAAACAAGGCCAAACAGTTTGGGCAGCTTGCAGCCAGCTTGTGAATCGCAAGACCTATTTTCACCAAAGACACTTGAAAGTAAATGGTTTATACCTCTCCTTCCTAACCAGAGAATACATAGCTTAAATCACCCTGGCCTGGTTAAATAGAGAACAAAGACGCAATTAGTGTTATTTGTGCCAGCTAAAGCCAAGACAAATAAAGTTTGGGGGACATACAACAAAACCCCAAAAGGATTTTGATGGTCTTTCTTGGGGGATGTTAGGCAGGAAAGATAACTGCTAGGACAGGAAAGAGGAGAGGGGGAATTAAGGAGGAATTTCATCTCACCCACTAAACAAAGAAGTTAGCCACCTTAGGACTTGCCAAACAAGATGACCAGATGTATATACAAACATTCTGAGATAAGTCACAATAATGCAGAAGGGGACTTTGAAACCTAGTCTGCTATCCAAGATACTCGGCAGGGGAACTTTGAAACCTGTAGAGGGAAGGGTATAAAACCCCTTGAACCCCCATTAGGCAGTGTGCTCAGACTACCTGAGTTGCCCACTTGTGTTTTATGTCTAGTGTATTCTTAATAAATCTGCTTACTTTGCTTCAACACTGCTGTCTGTCACTCATCTGAAATCTTTCTTGCAAGACTGACAAGAACTGAGGAACGGAGAGCCACAACCTCTGATTCAGGGGGCTGCCCAGTAACAAAGGATTTTGGAAAAGGGATTCATTATAATTATCATAAAATTGAAATTTCACATTGCTAATGTTTAAAGCTTTCATTTTCTTTCTTTCTGTTGGTGGAAAGTAGTGGTTAAGAACACAAGCTTAAATCAGACAATTCTGGGTTCAAAATCTGGATCTTTCACTTTAATAGTGTGGGAAATTTTAATCTTTAAGCCTCTATAAAATGAGGAGATAGAATCTTCATCTCATAAAACTATTATAAAAACTAGATAATACAGAAAAAAGAGATTAATAGCTCCTGGAAAATACAAAGCATTTAATGTATTATTAGTACTCTGAAAAGTTTCTTTCATATTATTTTTAATTATTTAGGACAAAAATTAAAATTTAGATTTACAAAGAAGTACTGCGGGTGGCCTCCTATCGGCACCAGGATATAATCCCCTTGGTGGTGGCGAAGGCCACTGTCTGAGCCTGCAGTCTCCCTCTCTCAGGCCAGGGCACCTGGCAGCCAGTCACAGAACCTCCTGCACCTGGGGCGCTGCAGGCTTCTGTCAGACAGGCATTCGGCAAAGCCCTTTTCCACCTCCAAAGTGAGTTCAGGCCCTTCCTCCAGGAGCCTTGTGCGCCCCTCAGGCCAGGGCAGGTTCTGTCATCTACATCTAGTTTCCCATGCCCGCCTCCGCCTCAGCAGGTATCACATCGTATTGAAATTACCCCACTATTTTGAATGCTCTTCAAGCTGGGCAATCTGTTTCCTTTGGTTTTATACCCCCAATGTCTAGAATAGTGTTTGAACATTTTATACATTCATTTTAATATCAAAATATGTATATTTGTAGAATGAACTTAAAATAGTTTCTAACCCATATATTAAAAAATATATACTTCCAGTAAGCAAAAAAAAAAAATCAGATAATAAAATTCTTCCATAATTATAAAAAATAATGGTAGATTAAAAAAATTACCTTGTTTGCTTATAAAGCTGATGAATTCCTGAATTTCAATTAAAGTTTGTACAGATTGCAATTTGGTAAGTCTACTTCTGTGTAAAAGCACATCAATACTAGAATAGTTCTAGAAAAAAAGGCATTTAACATTGTTTACAAATCAATTCAAGACTTTAAACTTTAATACAGTTCTATAAAATGTAAAATACAGCAACTACCATACAAATACATCACACAGTGTGTCTCACTGTGGTTAATAATGAGGTCATACAAGAAATTAACAGATAATATAATTTTTGAAAATAATTTAGGTTGAAAACCCCTTTTGGTTCATTGAAATCAATAAAAACAATACAAATGACCTATCATTGCCTCTACTTGCCAACACTTTTTAAAAATCACAACCTGTCCTGGCCAGTGATGCTCACTGGTTAGAGTGTTGGCCCACGCACCGAAGGGTCAAGGATTCGATTCCCAGTCAAGGGCAGGTACCTGGGCTGTAAGATCGATCCCCGGCCCTGGTCCGGGCATGTATGAGAGGCAGTCAATTGATGTGTCTCTCACATTAATGTTTCTCTCTCCCCCTTCCCTTCCTCCCTTCCACTCTCTAGAGATCAATGGAGAAAATATCCTCAGGTGAGGATTAACAACAAAAAATCACAACATCCACCCAGGCAGCATGGCTCAGTGGTTGAGCATGGACCTATGAACCAGGAGGTCACAGTTCCATTCCCAGTCGGGGTATGCCTGGGTTGCAGGCTCAATCCCCAGTAGGGGTCGTTCAGGAGGCAACCAATTGATCAATTGATGATTGTCTTTCATTGATGTTTCTATCACTCTCTCCCTCTTCCTTCCTCTTTGAAATCAATAAAAATATATTTTTAAAAATCACAAAATCCTCTAATGTAAATAGCTAAGTATAGAAGCCAATTCTTACTTCAATAAACTTTCTTGAGTGTATTAATCAACTTTTAAAGTTTAAAAATAAAAGACAATTGCTCTGGCCGGTATGGCTCAGTTGGTTGGGTGTCATGCCACGCACTGAAAGGTTGCGGCTCGATCCCCAGTAGTAGGTGTGCAGGAGGCAGCCAATTGATGTTTCACTTTCATCAATGCTTCTCTCTCTCTCCCTCTCCCTTCCTCACTCGAAAAAATCAATTAAAAATATTTTTTAAAACTCAGAAAAAAATAAATGACTTTGCTTCTAATGATCATTGTGTGCCAATGATAAATGTTGTTAATAGACTCTATACAAGACACTGACTTTAAAAATAAACAAACATCAGAGGAAGATTCTCCAACAAGCAAAAAGGAAAAATGGCAGAAAATAAACAGGGAAGATTCATATTCTTTCCTAACCAGCAACCAAACTTCTATTCACCTACTCCAAATGTAAAAGTCGACTCTCAAGTGTTTCTTTTTTTTAGCAGTGTGAGAAAAATAAAAACTTAAGGTAAAACAAAAATTAGAACTTCTATAACAGGGAAAAACTTTTTAAAGGCATTAAGACAAAAAAAACAGAGTAAAGAGAGCTATCAGAAGAAAATAGTAAAAAATGGGTGGTATTAAATAGTAAATAAAAATGTTTTATTATTTTTTTATTCACTAGTTTACTAACTTTAAAAATATCACAGCCCTAGCCTATTTTCCTCAGTGGTTAGAGCATCAGCCCTGGGACTGAAGAGTCCCGGGTTCAATTCCCGTCAAGGCATGTACCTTGTTGCAGGCTCCATCTCCACCTGAACTAGGGCATGTGCGGGAGGCAACCAATCAATGTGTCTCTTTCATATCGATGCTGCTCTCTGTCTCTCCCCCTCCCTTCCACTCTCAAAAAAATCAGTGGAGAAGCAGCAGCCCTGTAAGTTGCTTGGTGAAAAAAAAAAAAAAAAATCAGTGAAAAGAATATCCTCAGGTGAGAATTAACAAAAATAAATAACTAAATCACAGAAATAGCACATTTCAGATTGGTGTATCTGTATTACCTGTATAAAAATTTGAATGCATTTTTCAATATAATACTTGGCTCTGTCAATATCATTTTGTAAGATATACAGAAGACTCAATTCCTGACTATAATTGAGCTCTATAATGGACTTTTGGAGCTCCTTATTTACAGCCTCATCGATAAATGTCAGCAGGGACTGGTCATTCTCTCCTTGAAGCAGTAACTTCAGCTTGCTGCGGATCATGTAAGGTAGATAGGTCTCCTACGGAACATCAGAAAGACAATGTGAGGATGCCTAATCATTTTATTACTATAATATAATTTAGTATAATTTTATATTTCAAGATTTAGAGACAAAGTGATTATGCTCGATACTTCAAACCTGAAAACTATAATTTTTAAGACATGCTCAAGTAAACTTGCTCATTATGTAACCACAAAATATATAGGAACATGTCCTGTAGAAAGTAGGAACTGCACACTATTAGATGAAATACAGCTGATGTCACATACACAGTGAGGAATCTTTAAGCACAGCCAGGACAGCAGCCTTGTGAGAGGGGCCAGGAGAGCAGCCTTGTTCAAGAGTTGGGGTGACCCTGTGAGGGGAGCCATCTTGCTCTGGTAATTGGGGCATGCCCATATGTTGCCTGTGACCCAGTGCAAAGAGAACAGAAAATAATCTTCCATGTCATCATACCAGGGATGTTATGTTAATATTTATTTTTATTAGTTTTTAATATATTTTTTATTGATTTCAGAGAGGAAGGGAGAGGGAGAGAGAGATAGAAACATCAATGATGAGAGTTAATCATTGATTGGCTGCCTCCTGCACGCCCCCTACTGGGGATCAAGCCCGAAACCGGGGCATGTGCTCTTTCTTGTTTGGACTCTTTAGTCTGCAGGCCTGCGCTCTATCCACTGAGCAAACCAGCTAAAGCAATATTTATTTTTAAACACATGCCACTTATTTTAAAGGAGTTAGCTAAAAGTGGTAAGAGATTTAACAATACTATGGAGTTTATCGGGGGGGAGTCAGGATATATAACTATCCTAATGCTTCACAACTACTACTGTATTTTTTTAAAGTTTTAAGCAACTTAATTACTTAGAGAACACCTGACCATCTCAATTATTTATTTCAGCAACTTCTAAAATGATTCTACCCACCTGATAAAATGGGTCACTCCACATTTTATTTAGATCTGGAGGGTTCTCACTGTCGACACTGACTATAGAACAATATGCCAATGATTTCCACTCAGCAAGTTGGTTATAACAATCAAGGGATGCAAGTTCCCAAAAATCCTTCTCGGCTTCTGTAGGCTCACCATCCACCCACTCTTGTTTATTGAGAGCCTGGCAAAGAAAAGTTCCTAAGAT